TTTTAAAAGTTCTATCGAATCTTAAAGTTATGCAACAATAAACTGAAACACCCTGTACATATAAATTTGATCTGCATGCGTAGGTTGAATGGTCTGAAGAGGTTTGATTGTATTCTCAAATAATACGGTATTTGCCAATAATGGTGTTTTCTCTGGTTAGTAGTGGAAAATATTTCTCACTACGGTTCTGAGATACCTTGACTCGTGTTTTCTGTTTTGATGCAACGTGCGAATGTTGTGGCTGTGATACCCACAATTACTCATTCTCATCCTAGGAAAATTTATGGTATTTTGTGATATTGTTAAATAACATACATGAGATGAGATAGATCGTAAATACATATGATAACAAACGTGTTAGGAAAGTACTAGGATTAGACAAGATATAATATTATAGTATGTAGATCTAAATTTAAAACTTTTCCCACATGCATTGGTTAAATGATCTGATGAGGTTTTTATTTTGGAATAATAATGTATTTTCCAATATTCTTATTTCGACTAAATGCTGATATTTTGCAATAAAAACGTAAATGCTGAAAATCTTTACGCCAATTGAGGAGGAAGTATTGTAATCGCAAAAAATCGAGAGAAAGGTAGCATGTTTTTTGGATAATGTATTCACATTTCCATCACAAAAACCATGCCACTCATTTCCGTCGATCTGCCCTGTTTATCTATCTGTCTGTTTATTGGTCTGTTCGCTAATTTTTCCGCCTTCTATAAGTCGGACTTTGATGAAGTTTTGATACAAAGTGTATCATTTGGCATTTTTTATGATATAACTCATTCGGTCATTTCCAACAAGGAATTTTTGATCATCAGATCATCATATACAGTCACCCATACAAATTAATGATATGATGTAGCGCTAATTTAATCTGTTCTACTAGAAATGAGTGGCAGTGTAAAAATTCCATTGTTGGATGGAACCAAATACTTAATTGAATTTCTTGATAATTTAAAATAAGATTATTTTACAGGTTTCTATCAAATTGCAGAACAGAAAACGTATGTAAATACGGGAATTTACAAGTTAAGCATACATTGTTTTTTTGAAAAAGTGTTGCAAATGGTACAATAATTTATCGATCCGTTTTGTTCAGTTGTACCACGAGATTTGTAAATTGTAATGCATTAGATTTTCACTGTTAGTGGAACAGATGTGTAAAACAAAATATGGTAATGAATTAAACGTTCTATCTACATAGATAACTCATAAAACATACTCGTAGATATCGTAAAATAGGAACATAGATGAGACAAAATATTACCCTAATGCAGATATACGTTTAAACGGAAAGCTTCATTTATCGAACGTACTCATAAGAATTACCTATTTGTAATAAATCTGTGAAACAACAACAATACTCGTACAAATTACTGACAATAATCAATTTTATCACAAAAATCTGTTGCATGCGTGGATTGGTTGCATTTACAAGACATATTCTAGTGCAACTTAACAAACACAAATTGCCGAACTGATATTATTACTGGTCTAAAACAACTAGAAAACGATTGTGTGGATGCAAATGCTTATCTAAATTATATAATACTACGCAGAGAAGATTTAGAGAAACCAACGAATTTCATTTTTACGGAGGACCGCAAGTTATCAGTTTTGGTTAGATATATTTTGACGTCAAAAGGCATAAAATATTCTTACTATACGAGTATTACTATATTTGGCGTTAGAAATCAGTAATATTTCAATAAATATCGAGATGTTTCAATTTAAAAATTGGTACAGTACTACTCGTATACTTCTTAAAAAAAAACATCGGTCAAACTTTGTTTTTTAACGTTTCTGAGACTCCAGCCCATTTTTAGGAATCTTATGGAGGTTGAAAATGGGGGATTCGAGGTTATAGAGGGTAGGGGTGTTTTAAATGTTGCAATTTGGTATCAGTGACAGACGTTCTATCATCAAGAAGTTTCTGATCTCAGTAAATGTTACCTATTAATAATGGTTTAATTCCGTATTTTCAAATATGATGGATGCGCGGGCAAACATTCTATCACAAGAATCTGCTTGACATACGTTAACATATCTTAAAGTTCCAATTCCACTTGATTTTTTTGAATAAACATAGCCTATTTGTTTTTTGTTATACATGTGCCTGATTTATCCAACTTTCGTTTTAGCTGCTGCTACTGCCACATATTAATCCATGTTATATAAACAAAAATAGAAGATGCCGTCAAGTAGATTGACTCTATGCTTCCCACGCCTCCAAACAACTTCTAGTACAATCTCTTCTGTAGTGCAATGACATAAAAAAAGGTTTTGTCAGAACCATTAGAGAACTATTTGGTCCTTTCATGAAAACAAAATCCTCAAATTGCAGCAATGAGCCTGTCCATACACAATAGCCTTTTTTCTTTGGACCTCTGGTGTAAAACTGTTTGATACGTATATATATATATATATATATATATATATATATATTGTATTTGTATAATATTACCTCAAGAGACTAAGTAACCTCATTAAATTACACTCCAAGCATAACGCTCATAGACGTGGTGTTTCAAATTCGACCCTCGCCACTGTAAGAAATACGAAGTCGCTTAAATAAGGGCCAATGTTGCGTATTTAGATAATCAACAAAATGCCGCTTAGAAAGTTTTGAAATAAAAAGTACTTCTGGAGAGAGACGGAAAAACCGAATTTTCTCAAAATCGTTTTAATTTTTTTTAAGGACGCCATATTGAATTTTAGCATAGATAAGTATAGTTTTTAATTCTGATTCCAAAAATGATAATACTTCATACATTGATGTTGCCAAACCTTAGTTATTTAAAAAAGCAGAATTTCCTAGGTAGGCCTTGAAATTATTAAATAGTCGTTTTTTGTTTCGCCTACTAGATTTATCCCAAAATCACTTTTATTTTTATTTGAGTTGGGATTCCAAAATAAATTGTATTGCTACTTTTTCTCCTCTACAAAATGGCATAATTAGAATTTTAAATTGACGTTTCGTCTCTTGTCCTCCAGCATTAACTTTATTTTTTCTTGGGGACGCCATATTGGATTTTTGCGCAGATGAATAGTTTTTTAATTCTAATTTCAAAAATATAATATGTACTACATTGACATTGCCAAACCTTAGTTATTACAGAAAAATAGAAGTTCTTAGTAAGGCCTTGAAACTATCAGATTTAATTTGCTTCCTATACCAGACCAGACCTCAAATTGAACATAGCAACAGAATAAGGAAGACTGAGACGAAGAGAAATAAATCGAGTAGTGAACAATGTGAAGAGTCAAGAGTTGCCTACAAAATAACGGACAACATTTTGAACATCTGCTATGATTTACTTCTGGTTACTATGATTTTATTATTGTTATTACCATCAACATTTTTATTTTGTGTTCAGGTTTTACCATACCTTTTTAATTTCTAAACATTTTCATTCAACAACAAATTCATGGCCAACTAAGGAAATACATTAGGGCTGAAAAGTTCATTTATATATACAAAATTCCAATTCAGCTTCCATATGAAAAAACAAAGTTGGTGATGGAAGTCGAAAGAAGAAACCTCAAATTGAAAATTTGACTACGCCATCTTGTAGAGGAGAATAAGGAGCAATGCCAACGTACAATTTATTTTCAAATTCCATCTCAAATAAAATCAGGAAAAAATGAAAGTAATTTTGGGATAAATCTGATATATGAAATAAATGATATGATAATTTCAAGGCCTGCCAAGGTAACTCTGCTTTTTTGAAATAACTAAGGTTTAACAATGTCAATATATAACGTATTATAGATTTTTGGAATCAGAATTATTCATCTGCGCAAAATCCAATATGGCGACCATAAGAAAAAATAAATGTAATACTAGAGATACGAGAGACGAAACGTCATATTGAAATTCTTATTATGCCATGTTGTCGAGGAAAAAGTGTCAATTTTGGGAAAATTCGGTTCTTTCCGTCTCTCTCCGAAAGTACCTACTTTGAATTTCGAAACTTTCTAACCGGCATATTGTTGATTACCTAAATACGCAACTTTGCCCCTGTTTAGGCGACATCGCACGTCTTACAGTTTCCAAGATCCCAATGGTGAGGGTCGAATATAAAATACCCTGTCTGCCGAAAATGTTTTAAGGGCAAATACGGGTACAAGGAAATGTATGAGGTGTGAAATATGTTTAATAGCATTAGCGGGTCTGGAAGCTTATTAATGTAACATCAAAAATTGCGATACACCTTCTCCCACCCCCCTGCAACCACCATCTGCCAATTTTTTACCTCAATTTTTTTTAAAATCATCAGGAGCTTCTGAAACGCCAAAAAACTAAGGTTGAGCGATTTTTATTTTGATCATTTTTTGGCCACATTTTCAAAAGCTACAAAGTTTTTTCATCCTTGGCATAGTAGTAATCTTGCGTAAAAATTTCTTTCAAATCCGAGCAGTATTTTCCAAGTTATAGACTGCCAAGGATTAGCGAAAACACCGATAGACAGACGGAAAGACGGATATGAGTCACATGATGCTTCGTGATGCACATGTCTTATAACATCCAAAAAACAATACCTCATTTTAGAAATTTTTCGCGATTACAATAATTCCTCGCCAGTAGGCGTTGGAATATATAATACGGACAGTCATGGGTTCAAATCTGGATTGTAACACTTTTTTCTATTTTCCCAAATTCAGATATTCAACGTGGAAACTTTTATTGTTGTGTTGTTGTTATTTGACATGTGTAGGTACATTTTTTATATTACAGTCCTGTTAAAGTATTTCATAAAATACATACATCTTCATCAATTAAATATACCATAAATCATCACAGATATTGAGATGTCTATAGGTGATAACAAAAAGCCAGTTAATTGTGGCGGAAACATCTCACTATATGGCAATTAACATATTTTTCGTATCTTTGCTGGTTTTATTAAACGAATAGTTGTGATAAAATGACAAATTCGCATCGGGTTTTTTGGCAAACAGGCGGACTTACGTAATTTTTTTTTAATTTTTGATGCGAAGAGGTCAAAGTCCAAAGATCACAATGTGTTGGTCAGAGTGGATAAGAAAATAATTGCGCCTCTTTGCCGAATTCTGTAAATCTGGACCTTGCAGCGATATAGCTACATCTAAAATCACACCTGAACCCTCTTAATTTGCAAAGACCGTTCAAAAACTTCAGATAGAACGCACCGTTTCAATCTCCTTCTTAGTAAGTATCTGTTATCTCAGATCGCCCACGTTTATATATCCTACATGGTGTCCAAGATAAGGATCTTACGCATAGGGATCTCAATACCTGTGCGAGATACAGTTTAGGTTAAATTAAGAAAATGGTTCTTTGGAGCGTATTCATATGCCGTTGTTGCCTTGTAAGCATTTCATAAGGGGATTTAGGGAAAAAAATGGCCAAATCGTTTTTATTTTTTTTCCAGACTTTATTTTAAGAAATATCAAAAAACTAATGCAAATTTTTCATTGGCACATTTTAAGCACTACATAATGGTGTTTTTAAATTCTGTGTCCGATCTTTTAGTTTTAGAGAAACCATCATCAGCTTTATTTTTTTATATGGTCCGAAAAAGTACACCCCGATCTGATAGCATCTTTTACTAGGAATTCAACCGTGTTTCACAAGTTACATACATCGGTTTTCTTAGTTGTAAGAAACTGTTTTTTATTTTTTTATTTCATTTAAATAGGCGTTACAAGCAAATGCTTGATGCAAGATTATGTTATGCTTAATCTAATGATATTCAGAATAACGAATACATTTTTAAAATTCACAATATGTTAACATGCATAAACAAACTTTGTGTAGAATTCCAATAAACTACTACTACTCGAACTACTACCGGATTTTTGAACGAATTCGTTTTGAAAATAACCCATTCAAATATTTAAAAAGATCGTATAAATAGAACAGAAGCATTCATCTGTAAGTTTCCAATGCATCCGATAGCAGCCTGCCTAATATCCCGCTTGACAACATAAACCCGATGTATCCCATATTTCTCCGAATCCCGTCTATTTCAGTCACTGGTGACTCCCTGATTTGACTGAGTGGGGCTGGACAACTAAGCGACTGACCCCTGAACGTGATCCTAGCGTGATCTGCAGCAGATTCAGCGTCTGGTGGACTTCAAACCAATGGGGGAACCGCAGACATCACCTACAGAACATAGCACAGCAGATATGCAGGCAGTGTTGCCGTGTATAGTTGATCTGTTTTCGCTAGATTTGTGCGAAATTTTTCGGTAGATTTAGTTAGGTAAGCATTAAATGACAAAGCAAAACCTTGCCGGTGATTGAAAATTAAAGAGATGAACACCTTACTTGAGCTCCTGTCGCTTTAAGGGAGACTATTAAAGAAAGTGACGAGCACAGGCAAGGGCTGATTTAGGGATCTGTCCGTCTAGTGGTTGGGGGGACGCAGCGGTGGTCGTGTCATTTATGTTTAGGAAGATGTTCGTCATGTGTGGGGAGGGATGCACGTCTCACGATTAAGGTCTAGCAAGGAAATGTTTTAACTAAGATAGAGCCATATGAACTATTTTCTTTAAAAAATGACAGTTGGGTTTCTATGGGGGAGGGGCGCACCCATCGCCTCCATCTATATCCGCCCTTGGATGCCGCGTTGTACTGAATCGAAAATTGACGGGCAGGGAGCATTAAAATCTACAGAAAAATTGGTAGACCTGGCAAGACTGTATACATGAGACGCGCGTGTGGCTCATTCACGTTTTTATCAGACGGTGCCATGTGCAAGGAAATATGGCCAATTGTGAAGCATACTTTCCATTAATTTAATGTAGCGGAAAGATTTTTCTTTTTTCTTCTGTCTGTTTATACAAAGCGAAAATCTCGTTTTTGTGGGATCAATATTGTTACTTGATGTGTTTCATAATCACGTTTGTTGGATGCTCCTTAACGGGGCTCCTACAATCACGAACACCATCTGCTGAGGTAACGGGGGGGTGAAAAGGAAACGAGGGTAGGCTGGCCCTTGACGGTCGTCGGCGCTACTTTAAAAGAGGAAAGGATGACTGCGGGAGCATATCAAGGTAAATTTTTATAATAACAGAGTCGGACTTCGATTAGCGATCTAGAATGTAAATCGTTTCTTATTTTGGTACTCAGCAAGTGATCATTTAGTATTTTTCTCCCCTTGTTACTGTTCGTCGATATTGTGTTGTTGAATTGTTGTTGGTGTGATTGTTCTTGAGTGCCTTTTTTATCAAGGCTGATAATGGACAATAAAGGGTCATATGCGATCATTTTAATTACGAACGCAGTGAGTTTAATTCATGATGAGGTCAACAATAGTGTGGAGCAGGTCAACTCTATAATCGCAAAATACATTGGGGTAAGCGAATAAATTATTGCAAGAAGAGGTGAAACCATGGAAGATGTGCTGCAGCTGTAGTGAGCCACAATACCCAGCGGCCTGTATATGTGGTCTAAATACATTTGCGTTCTAAGCTTAGTCCAACCTCGCTTATCGCTAAGATGGAACAAAGACTCAAACGCAAGAGTCTTGAAAAGAAACTCAGACCAAAAAAAGCAGATATAAAAATAACTAACAATTCGGATAGCAATTCCAAAGAAAATGAATAGTTTTATGGCGAATTCAATCAAAAACCGGACATTAACTACATTAATTTGGAGGTTGCTAAGCAAAAATTTTTAGGGAAACTTAAAGAAAGTGACGACGAGATTTTGCAGATCGAACAAGTCACCAAATCACAGGACTGTACTTTGTCGCGCCTTCATCGGAGGATAAGGTTGACAGTGTCTTGATTTGGTGAAGTTTGTAGAAGACGGCAGACAACAAGCTGTAAAGTTCTAGTAAACTCCGTCATATACCCAACAGAGTTTTCTAGTAAGGCAATAAAAAAAGCAATACAAAAATCATTGGTCACCGAAGTTCAGTCTTGTGGTTTGTTTATTGATCGCACACATCCATTTCTGGCAGCATCGCCTCCATCTACCTATTACAGTAGACAAGAAATGTACTTAATACAGGTATAAGCCTACCTGTTTATTGCTTTGCAAAAACTACCTAGCTGTCTCCTCTTATTTTGACGGCATAAGATATTTAATGACCCTCATTCAATTGTTACCATGTACCACATGACCCTTGTAAACATAATTGTATTTATTGACATGAATAAACGAATTTTAATTTGAGTTCTTGAATTTATTTTAGGGAATATATCAAATTATTTGAATACATTTTTTCTTAGTCGGAACGCACCGTCGCGTCTCGTCGCTTGGACTGGCAGGACGAAACAGTAGACGAATTTCGCCCAAAAACAGATTTGCACTTCACAGCTTACGTTACATTTTTTATTATTTCCAAATGAAACTCTTGCAGCGTGCTAAAAACAAAGTCCACAGGGTGCTAACGATACACTATTTCGATTTTATCCACCACTAGGATCTTTTTAAAGTATCAAGAAGTTGAGCACAAATTCGATAGTAAGCATTTCGACCCACCATAATTCTTGCGCAAAGACAAAATTTTGTAAGAAGCACCTTAGGCAATTATATCCTGCTTATATCCAGAAAAACATCATAAACTGCAGAACACAAATTGAAGGTAACGGCGAAATAGGTACATTTCACGAGTCATGGAATTCAAATGAAAATGCAGGTATAAAATCTACCAAATTATCGTTCTCAAAAACATATTTCCTTGACATATCGATAATTTTAAAGTTCCACGCTAAATTCCCCTATACTTGACTGGAGTGATAAACCTATAGAGCAGGTACTCATTTTTTCAAATCGTGAGCACATTATTCGTCGGATTTTCGTTACTTAAATTTCCTGTAATCACTGGGATCAGAAGCTTCCTAATAATAGAACGTGTTTCACTGATATCAAAGATGCAACATTTAGAATCACCTTCCCCCAACCCCCACTTTTTAAGCAGTACAATTTTTTTCTGTCAATGATAAGGAACCCCTGTAACGTCAAAAACGGAATTTCAGCAATTGTTACTTTTTTTTTCGCCTATAGCACCGCTGCCACTGGACTAAAACTACAAAGCTTTGGCATACTAGTAACCCCGTGTGGAAATTTCATAAAAATCCCAGCGGTTATTTCCAAGTTGATGAGTGATACAGTTTTTCATATGACAAAAAAACGTAACATCTCATTTTACAAATTTTTCGCGATTACAATACTTCCTCGCCAATGACGTGGGAAGTAAAACGGCTTTAAAATCGGGGAGTATCTGCGATCGCGATTATGAGTACCTATTTGCAGCACGACTTATCTACGCGATATTATATGAAATAGGGCCACCAAATTATCTGAATACGACCGTACATTGCGCCGCAACGCTTGGGTTGGCAGCACGAAACAGTAGACAAAATTCGTCCAAAATACGATTTGTAGATGTTTGCGCGCTTCGAAATTGACGCTTTATTTTTTGATATTTTTGGATGAAATTTTCACAGAGTGCTGAGAGCAAAACCCCACAGGGTGCTATAGAGCCACTTTTTCATTTTTTCACAAGGTTCTTTTTAAAAAAATCGCGAAGTTGAACAGAATAAGTGCGCACTTCAACCCATCATAAAACTTGTGCAAAAACTAAATTTCAAAAAGTGCTCCTATAGCACCCTGGGCAATTATCTTCTCAACATACTGTATCAATTTCATTCAAAAATTTTGAAAAATGGAGTGTCAGTTTTATTTCAGCCGCATTAACATGAACCAATAGATTGCAGGGCGGCAACCTAATGAAAAATTAAGAATGCCTTATTTGCCTGGATAAAGCTTTTTACTTTTCATGCCACCGGCGGCTAGGAAGTAGGTCGCTCATTTCCATTCTGTCTGGCTGTCTGTCGATCTTTCGGTATCTCTGTACACTGATCCTTGGCCACGCTATAACTTTTTTATACACTGAAGGCCTAAAGGCCAGGGCAGTGCGACTGTTACTACCAGTTTGATTTTGACGTTTCGGAGGCTTCTGATCATTTTCAGAAAAGCATTCGTACAGGTTGAACATCGAGTGTTAGAGGTTACGAATGGCGCATTTGGTATCAGTATAAGACGTTTTATTATTTAGACATTTTTTGTCCACCCTTTAGACATAATATCACACATATGTTCACATAATATTTACTAGTAACACGAGCTACCTACCCAGAAACGCGCGACATCCTTTGCCTGCGAAGACTCCGATCTGAATTCAGCAACGCTGTCCCAGCCGTAACGCCATCAAATTTGTCGGCGACGACGCTAGACGATGCATTAAAATTATCCAATTAAATGCTTTCTGGGACATCACCAGCTGTAAGAGTTTTCATGGCCGGCGAGTAGTAAAGATACCAGAACTTACGAAAATTAACTTAGATACTATAAATGCTGCATATTCAAACTCCATTTATCTAGAATTGCGAGCCATTTTACTTGACGCAATTTTTTAGATCCACAAGTGTTGCTATTTTGTTATTAACGATTATATAACAACTCTTTTAAGCAAGCAAATCAGAAAATACTCTTCGCTGTCTTGTAGGCACAGGTTTGGAATTTAATTGAGACACTTGGCAACCTCAAAAGTAATAATTTTCAAGCTACTAGGTACTTTAGTATTGAATATGGTCATTAATTAAGGGTTTTTCAGACTTCAAACATCTCAATTATGGCTCGAATCCTGCTAACTTTAGAGCAATGAAACACAAAATCTAAAAAATCTTTGTCTGGAGCGTAAATTATTATTTGAAGACTGAAAATTTTTTTAAGAATCCCAATTGGTACCTGGTTTCTATGTCAGGGTAGGCATGTAAGATTTTTGGAGATTATTTTAATAATAAGTTTCCAACTATAATAAAATGTAAAGTAATTGATACTAGACGTTACATATGATTTTAAATAACAACTTTAGCTACTACTTATATTTTTTGGACATTTTTCTCTATTTTTACTAAAACTAACAACGTTCGGGAAATAGCATCCTTATGCTCCTTAAAAAGACCGAAATAAGACACCACAAACTGCCATATATTACCAGAATCGACGTCTGCGGTTAGTGTTACCAGATGGCATGATTCAAATATCTGGCAAAACTTCAAAAAGTCTGGATTTTTGGATTATAGTCGGGACAAGTAAATATTACGAATAATTTTTTTATATTAAAATTAAAGCTATTACAACAACATACTTTTTTGGTAAGTCAGGAGATTACAGATCAAACATATGAGTTAAAACATACTTATTTTCTACTAGGCAACAAGAATTTGGAATTTGTGCTCATCGATTGCACCAATTTAGTGCCCTTTGAAGTTTTTAAAAAAGTTTTAAAATTTAAACAATTCTCATAAAATCTTATTTTTTAATAATAATAATTTAACTAAATATATTGCCCTTCGATTTCTATGTTTAGTATACACGCTATTTAATAAACTGAGCACCCTTTCACAATAAGCATTGCTTGTTAGGTTCGGTAAGACAAGATATACATATATATATATTTTAATTTTGGTAAATTTTTTAAATATATCCACATTTGGTCACTAGATATATTGTCGTTGTGTTTTGGAGTATATTTAAATATTACTTTGAGGCAAGAGCAACCAGAATACAAATGTTTTGTTATTTGTCAAGATAATTTTCTGGGATCCTTCCGCTCCTATTCCTACCTGAGACCAAGCCTAGATCATACTAATGAGTTGCCAAAAAGCACGAAACAACTGTCTTTAGTTGTCCGTGTGTGATCAGTCGAATGAGAGCTATATTACTAGTCTGAAAAAGACTGAGTATCCCTAATTCACATATTCTTTTTCTAGAAACGATATCACTGATGATTCAAATACTTTGCCGTCTAGAAGTCTCGACCACCCATACACATACATCACGTACATGATGTTCACGTGAAGGAAAGAAAAAAATTCTGACAATCAAGCTGAGCGGTAGTCTCATCCAGCGATGATATCGCGACGATATATAAATAAAATAAAAAAAATGTGTTGCTATGTGGGACAAAGGTCACCTTTCCCCGCGCGCATTTAAAAGTGAATTGCGGTTATTTCTAAAAAGGCTATAGAGTATTGTTGAACTAAATTGCAAAACCTGCAATCAACCGAAACATGGAAACAGTGGAACACAGTCACAAGAAGATACATGAGTATCTGGATGAAAAACAGTAGATGAACAGTGTCTTATTTACGCTCCGACTAGCCGTTCTCCAAAGGATGATTCCAATGCGTTATTTCCTCGTAAACTCCATTGGAATCATTTGTACAACGGCAGGCGACTGGTCGCCGGAGATCTACTATGCATACTAGTGTTAGTGTCACAGCGTTTTTGTGCTTGAAATTAGCCGAAGAAAATGAGTATCCGGATGAGCTAACCATAAAAAAACGTACAGCTAATTACCTAATACAGACTGGCCGATATGTAACTGACTGGTTTGTATCTTGAATATCTGTGAAATGAATTAAAATACGTCTTTTTTATATCTTAATCTTTTATTTAAACTTAGAAATTATGTATGAAAATAATATCAGACAAATGTCCGTCACTAGAACCCGCGCAAACCTGAGCCCACTTGATTACATTTTCCATTACTTTTTAGTAGGTTTCGGAAGGAATATTTTCAATCGCTTCCGTAATATTGTTCTTCAGCTGCTCTACAGTATTTGGTTAGTTGGCATAAACACTATTTTTCGAAAATCCCCATAAAAAAAGTCGGGAGCCGTTAAATCCGGTGACTTTGGTCTCCAGTTGACAGCACCAAATCGAGAAATTAAACGTCCCGGAAATATTGTTCGCAAAAGATTCATTGTTTCCCTAACTGTGTAGCAAGTGCTCAGTCCTGCTGGTAGGTAGTTCAAAAATCGGATTAATAAAATTTCTTTGGGATCCCCAAAGCAGCAGCGGTGTCATGGTATTTAGGCTTCTCCTTGCGCGACTGCTTCGGTGTAAAAAAGCCTGAAGATTATTCAATCATCATATACATTAATCCCTTGATTGACCATTATAAAATTTCAATCATGAAGTGTTCAGTACTTTTGATATTACTTTATAAGTTGAGAATAAAACTAAATACAGTAGAAAGTAATTTGGACATATACTAAGTGACATATAAATCCGAACACCCAGTTTAAATGGTTTTATTTTAATAAAAGTTGGTGAATGTATTTATCTTACTGTAAATATCAAGTGAAAAAATTTTCAGCCTTATCAGTTGGACATTCCGGTTTTTATACTGCTTTTTTTTAATTCACTAACGCTCTAAAAATGAATATTTCAGCCGCAGTAAAGAATCAACGTTGGCGGATTTTGGTTCTTGACATCCTTTACGATCGGTTACGATGCCTAGAGTACGGAGACCTGTACGATTCCGTCAACTTAGTGAGTTTGATAGAGGCCGTATAGTGGGACTTCGGGAAGCTGGACTTACTTTTCGGGCAATTGCAGTTAGAGTGCAAAGAAGTGTAGACACTGTGGTTAGGTGTTGTCAGGCATGGCTTCGAGAAGGCCGTACGCAAAGGTCAAGGGGCACTGGACGCCGCCGTAGAACAACAGACCGTGAAGATCGCCGCCTAAGATTATTGGCCTTAAGGGACCGTTTCTCCACTACCAGGTCCATTGCAAATGAATGGTTTGCAGAACACGGAAGACCTATTGGCATGCGAAGTGTTTACCGACGAACGAGAAGTTTTGGCTTGTTTTCATACCGGCCACACTGGGTCCTCCCTTTAACTCAAGAACACCGACATAATCGCCTTGAGTGGTGCAGACAACGGTCACTCTGGGATCAGGAATGGAACAGTATTGTCTTTAGTGACGAGTCTCGATTTTGTTTAGGCATGCACGATGGTCGTGCCAGGGTTAGAAGGCGACGTGGTGAAAGGAGGAATCCACAGTTTTTTGTTGAAAGACATGCTCATCACACTGTTGGAGTTATGGTTTGGGGTGCTATAGCTTATGGTTCCAGGTCACCTTTAATCTTCATCAGAGGTAACATGAACGCGCAGCGTTATATCCATGAAGTTCTAGAACCCCATCTTTTACCCTATCTTGACACCCTGGCAGATCCACCTTTCCAACAAGATAATGCCATACCACATGTTGCAAGAGTCACAATAGACTTCTTTCAACATAATGATGTCACATTGTTACCATGGCCACCAAGACCTCCCGACTTGTCCCCAATTGAGCACGTGTGGGATATGATGGGTAGGAGATTGCTCAATTTGCAACGTCCTCCTCAGACTCTAGAAGCACTTCGAGAGGAGTTGGTGGTTGCCTGGAATGAGATACCACAGGAGGACATTGACCACCTGATCAGAAGCATGCCTAGGCGCGTTGGAGAATGCGTAGCACATCAGGGTGCATCCACACATTATTACAGGTCAAAGGGCTTTAAAGCAGTGCAATCATTTTGAAATTTTTATCATTTACTTATTATGCTTCATTAAGTACTTATACAAAATTTTATTAAAATAAAACCATTTAAACTGGGTGTTCGGATTTATATGTCACTTAGTATATTTATGACGTATCATCCGCCGATACCATGAAACGTGGGAGTGTTGTTGATTGTGTCAGAAATCAAGATAACTTGACCCAAAGCAAAAAATTGTTGTTTACAAATCATGAGACACAACATCATTAAATTTATCGGTTACAATTCTTATATATCGATTATTTTTTAGCCTGACGTGGCCTCACACATAGCAGCTGAAAATTTACCGCTTCAAGGAGCGTTAGAAAAAATTAAATTGGACAACAATATTCCTTAACTTGATTTCGAAGGACCTCCTACAGCTTTCCTGTTTGTATGTTATTATATTTTTTACAAAAAAAATTAAGGTTTTTGTAGCGTACATGCAATGCTGATGAGCACTTTTCTAAATCAATTACAGGTTGCGGCAGAACCAACTACAGTTCATTACCAAAACTGTTGACAGCAATGGAATGCGAGGAATATTGCCAACCTCTTTGAAGAGACATCGCAGCAGCGACCTGTAACTCATTAATATAAGGAAAAATGGATTAATTTGTCAGAACGTTGATGCAGCTCTTAGCTAGCCCATGTTCGGGCTACCCAGGACTCACCACGGGAAGGTGTCTGAATATAGAGTCCCGTCCCTCCCTCCCCCCGTCTTTCAATTTCAACAAAATGAACAATAAATATGATTAATCTCTAAAACTTAAAAATACAAATCACAAAAATATACCAAAACTCTTATGAACCACCTAACTTACTTCACTTTATATGTATGAATGTTATGTATCTTAGCATGGAGTAAATTAGATCACCTTTGCATTTTAAACTATACCTATGGTTTTGACCACATTAGGTATAGTGTACAATTTTTTTTTCTATATACCACATAATTTCTAATTGGTCTAGGAGTGCCTCTAAAAGTCTAAAACCAAAATTCACTTCACAACGTATTTGCGAGTATGTGCGCGGTATTTGTGCGTTGTGCGTGTTGTCGGGTTATGTGCGGTATGCTGGATTTGTGTGTTTTATTCAATAGGCATATAGGCAAATCACAATTAAATTAAAGATTTAATTTGTGTTTTCAATGTTGAATGGAGGTTTGAAAATGCATAACATGCATTTTATTAAATATAATAAAATATTACTCAACGGTCATTCCCATGACTCTTTATATGAAGTTTCGGTAATGAAAACTATAAGCAGCTTCAATGGATTATAAAATAAAAAATAGAGTCAAGTAGATTGACTTTTTACTTTCCACGCATTCGAAACATCGTAGGTTTTGTCAGAAACAGTGATGCACTGCTTGAGTTTTCCATGAAAAAATATCCTCGCAACGAACGTGTCCGTACACTGTAGCCACATTTCTTCGGAGCTCTGGTCTAGATTGCTTGTCAACAATGTTTCATAATTGATTATTATAATAGCTCTTGTTATGTACTCATATACCTATATATACTATATAATATTACCTCACGGAATAGTATCGCGCCTACCTCGTATCTCGCTTCTGCTACCTGGTTTTAGAAAAATCCCTCGGATGCACTACTTTAGGTATGCGATCCGTCTGCCCAAAGAATGTTTAAGAACGACGGGCCTACGGAAATGAGAGATATGGTTTTTCGTGATGTACATCTCAGATAACATCAAAACAAATCTCATTTTCCAAATTTTTCGCAATTACTACACTTCTTCCCCAGTTTTTAATTTTGGGAATATATGTATGTATTGCAATGCCCTCGTATAGCTGTGTTGGTTCCATTGGTTTCATTGTTGTTTCATTGCATTATCATACCTAGAGTTCGCAGACGCGCTAATTTGACTCAACTTTCCGAGTTTGAGAGGGGTCGGATAAACGGGTTACATGAAGCCGGATTTTCTTTTAGAGAAATCGCTATTCGGGTGAATCGAAACAAAGCTACTGCGATGAGATGTTGTCGAGCGTGGTTTCAAGAATGCCGAAATCGATGAGTTGGATGTACTGGACGTCAAAGACAGACTACAGAGCGACATGATCGTTATTTGAGGCAACTAGCACTTAGAGATCGATTTTCCACAACAAGGGCGGTTGCGAACCAGTAGTTTGATGCTGTCAGAAGGGCAATAACAATGAGGACAGTTTATCGTGAGTGAGAAATGATCATTATCAATCTGGAATGTGGAATCAATGGTTGTTCCGACACGCAGATGCACATCGATGGTGAAAGGGTAGTCACCGACGTACAGGTATCATGTAAAAAACCTATAAAACGTCAAAAAAACCTATAAGATGTCAACTTGCAGACTAGGTAGTTTTTAGGTCGCAAACAGTCATTCCACGTTTGCTCACTAGGATCGTTGTGAACGTCCATCTATGGAGGAATCACTCAACTAAACTACGCATTATTGGTTGCATAGTCTTGTCTTTGTGAGGCTGAGTGATCCGGGTCTGTAGTTTTTATCTCTGAGAAGAAAGATGGTTGAATAGTGTACACTGAATATAATTATTTCTTATCTCACTCGTTTTTGAAATTCAGCAAATTTGTATATGTAATTTCCAGAATGGATAAGAAAAAGTGGATGTGCAACTAATTTCTAGGTTTGAATCTCAATTAAGTGTATTTGAGACAAGAACCCAATGTAATTGTCATCAACACTTACAACTTACAGCTTAGACCTCCAGTAATGCCATCTCAGAAGCAGATTTTACATCACATCAAAGCCAAAGATTGATAACAAGCCTCATGGCATTTAGGCAACACGTACAACTAAGTGCTAAGTTAACATATTGTAGAATAACCTACATAACGTCAAAAAAAAAACAGCATAATGCCAAAAAAAATCGGCATGAGGTCACTTTTCAAGATACGTGATACCTGTGTGGCAAGGGTATTGCTTAACTAGAAAAGTGACATTACGTCGTTTTTGACATTATATAGGTTGTTTGTAAAATTATGTAGGTTTTTCTACAAGATGTAACATGATATCATGTTATATATGACTCATTAATGGCATTATTCGAAGTCTAAGCTTCAAGTTGTATACTATAACTGGAAGGAAACACAGTGTATATGTGCTTATTGACGGCAGCGGTGGCCGCAGTAGTAGACTCTTCGGTCTCCTGATCAGTCGCCGTGCGCTGTGCGGGTTCGAGTCCCGTCCCAGGAGAAATTTTTCTCTTGGCTATGGATGTTGTGATTGTCCGTAGGTGGTAGATGGTCTCTGACTGTCGAACGCGGAGGTACCACCCGCCGGTTCTCGTAGGCGGAGCCAGAATGTGTGCATGTTGCATGCACAGGTGTTCCCTCGCCAGAGTCCGTGTGGCGTCCCCCCCTTTCCCATGTATCCCCCTATAGCCCCACGGTACCCAATGGGTGCTTAGGCTTTAGGCATTTGTGGTAGTTGGAGTATAAAAAAAAGTGCGGTTGCCTGTGTTTCCACCGTTCCTTCCTAAAGTTACAGATATTTATTTTTGATGTATACATTCATCTTATACAATGATCTCAAGTCACCTGGGGGCAGAAGGCCATCTTGGAGTTTGTGAAAAAGGTCGATCTCAGGAACTACCGCGGACAGAATACAGAAGATACTACAAAAACTCACTATCGCTCTTGACATTTTTGGGCAAAAATGGTTAAGAAAACAATTAACCTAATTTATTGCATCGAAATTTTAGAAAACAAACTCCTGCCACTTTTTTGAAGAGCAATTTTATCAGTTACCTTCAAGTACTCACTGAACTGATATATTATTATGTCGAAAAATAAGACAATAAACATTCAATTATTGTGTACTTGAAAACAATAATAATCATATGCAGACATATGTTTTGATGCACCCTAATATTTCTGTCTGTTTATTCAGTTTAATTCCGAGAGATGAGGTCCAGAGTACACTGAGATTGCGTCGACGGAATTTCCGTTACAATCACAACAAAAATGTCTGTATATGTGTTATGAAAGCTTGAGGTGAATCATAATATACAGCCTATGAGGTTGTTATTTTGTTTACATTCAAAAATGCGATCGCGGAAACGTTTGAAAATGTGATAATCTGTTTATTGAACTTGTATGAAATATGATGCATTCGTTTTAAAAACAATGTATAACACCCGTTACCTATAGTACCTATGTCTGTTCATCTAGTGACAGATCACTGTTTATAGATATGTGTGAAGATGTTATCACAAGACTTACTCATAGGACAAAAGTTTCCAGAAAAAATGTAACAGGCTTGACTAACAGAATGGCGAAATTTTATTAAAATAATTTGATAATATGAAAAACAGTTTATAAAAATGATAAGGGATTATGCTCGTGAACAGCACGCAATTTTTTCTTTCGTTGGACGATGTCTTCTTTCGGAATTAAAACTTTCCATCCGTTGTCATAAGTTTTTCGGCATAGTAAGGACCAAAATTCTTGGATTGACCAAGCTTGTGATGGCAAATTCGAGGGGTTATCTTCTCTTGACACATGATTAATGCTATTCTGTCCCGACCATTCCGACACGGATATGACGTATCTTGAACAGTGGCATTTTGTCGATTTTTTTGATATTTTGTAGGTTTTTTGGTGACAACCTAGGTTTTTTTACATGATGTCAACTTGAAACTAGCTGTCGTTCACTTCATGCTCACTCGTAGCATGGGCGGAATGAACTATTTGCATACTAAAAATTACCTAGTTCGCAAGATGTCATTTTGTCGTTTTTTTTGACGTTTTTTAGGTTTTTTACATAACACTCCTGCCGAGCAGTCCTGTCACAATGACAGGAGGCGAAGTCGGACCAAAATATATCGTCGTTCTGGTGATTGATTAATGTATTATTCCTGACGAGACCCTAGAACGGCGACGTAGCTTTTGAGTAGATATTCCATTTCTTTTTCGAGCACTTTCTACCAGTTTATTAACTCTGTTTTGTGTTAAAACATGAGGTCTTCCAGTTTTCAGCAAATTAATAAAAGGTATCCCTAAATAGTTGCCAACTATACGGGCGTATTTATATCCCGTTGAGAAACTTGTAAAAATGTTATGGCTTACTGAGATATTTGGAAAAAACTAAAATTTGGCCACGTTTGGCGACAAGTTTTTCAACGTCAAGTAAATACGCCCGAAAGGCTTTTTTCTAATTTAACCTAAGCTGAATCTCCCACAGGTATTGAAATCTCCATGAAAAGGATTCTTATCTCAAACAACCTGTATATGTTCATAGATAGATAGATACTTTATTGATGCTTTTGATCATTTAAAAATAATATAGGATAGCTCATACCCCTGCTATGTTGGTAGTATAGAAAAATGACAGATGTACAATGTGACTTAAGCATATTAGAGGCGATCCAATAAAGACAATTTTTCGATCCAAAGTATACTTTCCTTGTCTTGATTATGTGACTAGATATCGAGTACAACAAATTCAAAATAGCTGCTGTAGGTTCGTTTGTGGTCTGCGAAAGTTTAGCCATGTGTCTAAGAAGATCGATGAGCTTAGATGGTTGAGGGTTGACCATCTTTTCACATATAATTTACTAATTTTAGTACAACGAATAAAAATCAATACGCTACCTACTTATCTACAAAAAAGGCTGGTACCACGTGGGGATCTCAATTACAGGAATCTCAGACATAACTCTGACTTCAATATACCTAGTTATAGGAGCAACATTTTCCATCGTAGCTTCACGTACAACGCTGTCAAGGTGTATAATAGTCTTAATGACAATTACAAAAAG